TCATGTTCAACGTTTGTCTCTTTCTCCTCATTTCCCTTTTCCCCTCACTTCCGTCGAAATTTTTTTCTAACTCTTCCCCTTAAATCCTAAACCCTTTTTTTATCAGTAGCCCCCCTTCTCCCTTTTTTATTCTTTACGTTCTACCAGACACCATCTTCATCTCTTTCTTCCTTCCCCTCTTCTTTCACCCCTCCCCCTTTCCCCCTTTTTCCCCATTGTTGCGTTTCCATCATTCTTATTAAATGCAGTCCCCCCCTCCCTTTCTTTCCCCCTCCCCCATCACTCTCATTCAACAAACCCTCCATTTTTAAATCTTTTTCATCTTTTTTTTATCAATAACATCTTCCTTTTTCCCCTCCACCGTTTTACCATCAAATATCCTCCTCCTTTCCCCCTTCTCCCTCATCGTATCACTAAACACCCTTTTCTCTCCCTCATTCCCCATCTCATCATTAAACCCCCTCCCCCTACCCCACAGCCTCTCTGCTTCCCCTCACCTGCCCCCCACACTTCCCCAACTTTCCTCCCCACAGCCTTCCTATATTGTTTTCCCCCCTCAGTTTATCCACCCTGCTGCTTCTTCTCAGCCCACTAACCTTGTTCTCTCCCCTCAGCCTCTCCACCCTGCTTCCCCTCACCCTCCCCAGCCTCCTCTCAGCCTGCCTACGCCACCTCCCCGTCATCCTCCCCCCCACCTCCCTTCCCCTCCCCTCAGCCTCTACACCTGCCTTCTCTCGGCCTCCCGTGCCTGCTTCCCCTCACCCCCTCAAGCCTACCTACCACACCTCCCCGTCACCCTCCCCACCCCACTACCTACCCTGCCTCCCTTCCCTCCCCTCAGCCTCCCCACCTGCCTTCCCTTAGCCTACCTACCCAGTCTCCCCTCCCTCAGCCTCCCCTCAGCCTACCTACCCCTACCTATCCCTCCCCCTTGTCCTCCCACCTGCATCCCCTCGGCCTCCCTACCCTGCTTCTCTTCCCTCCCCTCAGCCTCACCACCTGCTTCCCACCTGCCTCCCTTCCCTCCCCACATGCCTCCCTTCCCTCCCTCACCCCCACCCCCCACCTGCCTCCCCTCAGCCTGCTTGCCACCGAGAGACACAATATGCAGTTTCCCCGCGTGTTGCTTGGAGCGCAGCCATCACGTGTGTCAGACGGATTATGAAAAGCTTATGACTCAGGTCCTTTCCGCACGCACACGGACACACACGCACGCACATGGATAAATGTACAAATACACGCACGCACATGGATAAATGTAGACACACGCACATGGACTCACGCACAGGAGTACATAGATGCACATGCGTTTCTAAACGTAATATAGGATTTGGATTAGGCCCCCCTTTTACATATACACACATATGTACGCACACGCCTATGTACACGCACATGGACTCACGCATTCATAGCGTAAAAAGGGGGGGGGGGGGTGATCATGCGTATGGCAGATAAACTTTCTCTTTTGTCTCTTCATTCTCACTTTATTAATATTAATCTTCTGAATTTCCTGTTTTTATTTTTCTATTCTGCCTTCCCCGCTTTGAATTTACATTTTTTCCTCATCCGGCTGTGCAGACCTATATACTTAATCGGTTGCATGCACACGGGGGGAAGTAAGGAAGATAAGATAAAGGCAAACGTGAATGTTATGTAGTAAAGAAGAGGGACAAACTAAGATAAGGAGTGGTGTGTGTGTGAGAGAGAGAGAGAGAGAGAGGAAGGAGATAGAGAGAGAGCACATGAATCATAAATATTGTATTTTATTCTACCTGATCAACGTCTCTCTCTCTCTCTCTCTCTCTCTCTCTCTCACTCTCTCTCTCTCTCTCTCTCTCTCTCTCTCTCTCTCTCTCTCTCTCTCTCTCTCTCTCTCTCTCTCTCTCTTCTCTCTCTCTCTCTCTCTCTCTCTCTCTCTCTCTCCCTCTCTCCCTCTGTCCCTCCTTCTCGTTCTCACTCACTCCTTCCCCCCACCCTCTTTCTGTCTCTCCTTCCATTTCTCTTTTTTCGCTCCACGCCCAATCTCCCCCCCCCCCTCCCATCCCTCCCCCCCCCCTTCTCCATCTTTCTCCCACAAGATCTAGATTAGAGAATGATCCGAAAGGCAAACTCAACACACGCGGTGCACATCCAACAGAAGCACACACGAAGCTCCATTTTCCTCAGGAGGGGATATGACCAAACATTTCCTATTACTCGTCGTCTGAAGGCAATTTCCCAAGACGTACTTCTTCTCTGGGTCCCGCGTCTTGGCCCTTTTACCCCCCGAAGGAAGTTGAGGTAACGTGGACGAACTTTCCGACGAGATCATGTGTTGGGGACTTTACGTAAAAGAGGGAGAGTGATTAAGTCTTCTTTGTTTGGCGTCGGTAGAATTCATATTGGGAGATGGTTCGGTTGATATGAAGCTTCGAATGTTGTTTCGTTTTGACTTGCGTTTCTTTTCCGTTCCTTTTATGAAAAGAGGTGTTCAAATTTTGTGAAGTGTGGTAGTTTCGAATACTTTGTTCGTGTTTCGTTTCGACTTCTGTGTTTCATTTTCATTGTTTTGAAGAAAAAGGTGTTAAATTTTGTGATGTGTTGATTTTTTTTTCTATATACAGTTTGTGTGATGTAATCTTTGTTTTGCTTGTACAATAATGTGTAAATATTCATTTGTTTTCAGTGCTTATAGTGAAATATCAAAGCATAACAATTGATAAACTATGATGCCCACGAGATAGCAAGTCTGTGTTATCAGTGAACAAGGTGTCGAAGCTGTGAAAAGCTGATATAAAAAAGGGTATTTCTCTCGTACTCTCGTCTGAGAAACCCTTCCTCACCCCCTCACCCCCTCTCACTCACCCGTCCCCCTCCCTCACCCACACGCCCCTCCCCCCCCCCCCTCGACGCCCCTCAAGATGGAGCTCCTCACCACGAAGATCATCGCCCTCACCCTCATGGGGGTCCTCTCCCTGTTCTTCGGCCTCCTCCCCCTCCGTCTCAAGAAGTACATCCACCACGCGAGCAAGAAGAGGGAGAGGATCGTCAGCTGCCTCCTGTGCTTCGGCGGCGGGGTCCTCCTGGCCACCGTCTTCACCCACATGCTGCCGGAGACGCGGGAGAACTTCGCCAACGCCTTCGCCAGCAACGTCCTCACGGTGGGGGCGGACTACCCCCTCGCCGAGCTCGTCATCTGCGCCGGCTTCTTCCTGGTGTACTTCGTCGAGGAATTCGTTCATAAGGTAGGATGTTGTTTGCGTTGTTTATTTGTTTGTTTGTTTGTTTTTTTCGTTTGTTCATCGTCATTGCATTTTTTGTTTATTCATAATCATTGCAATTTTTAATCATTCATAATCACTACCATTAGTGTTTATTCATAATCATTACATTATTTTCAATCCAGGTAATTATTATATCTTATCTGTCATCCATATTTTTCGTATATTTGTGCTTCCTTCGCCGTCGTCCAGTTCGTTTACTACTCCTTTTTTATCGACAATTTAACGCAATTGGGTATTTGCAAGACGGGCTATTTTTCTATCATTTCTAGTTTTTTTTCCTTTCATATATTTTTCTTACGTCTATGTGGGAAAATGTGCATATTTAAACGTTTTTTTTTACGTGTGTGTAAGAAAAAGGCATCAGACAGGCTCGATAACTATTGTCTGCGAGCCTGAATATAGCCATGCGTGCGCATTTCTCGACGTATATGTATATTTCTCGAGTATATTGTATATTCTTTAAAACCCAGATAGCATAACTCCTGACAGGTATCGAGGATATATTCCGCGGACATACACTTAATCAGTTGCATGCACACGATGGGAGGTAAGGAGATGATAAGGGCTAACGGGAATGTTAGGTAGTGAAAAAGAGATAAGGAGAGAGAGATAAGGGAGAAGAGAGAGGGAGAGGGAGAAGGAGAAGGAGAAGGAGAAGGAGAGGGAGTGGGAGAAGGAGGGAGTGGGAGTGGGAGAAGGAGAGGGAGTGGGAGTGGAGAAGGAGAGGGAGTGGAGTGGAGAGGGAGAAGGAGGAGAAGAAGGAGAGGGGTGGGAGTGGGAGAAGGAGAGGGAGTAAGGAGAGGCAGTGGGAGAAGGAGAGGGAGAGAGAGAGAGAATGAAAGAGAGAGAGAGAGACGAATAGAATTATTATGTATATTCACTCCAGCTCTCGGAGGATTTGTTCCATAACTTTCTTTTGTAAGATTTATCCCTTCAAATTGGGCCTGGCTTTTGAAAACACCACAACGGGTTTAACGAACAATGTAGGTCAACCTGTCGGGAAGAGAACGAACAGAGAGAACGTTACGTAAAATGGCGGGCTTTTTGAATACGTGAATCCGTGAATCCGAAAACGCGGATTTTCTCTCGTCAGACACAAAGGTCGAAAATCCCTAACGGTTTGCGTAGGAAGACCGACCATGTGGATTTGAATGATTTCGGTTTTATTTTTCATCGGTTTTATAGGATTTGAGAAAAAAAAAGTTTAGAGTCGAGAAATATATACGTAGATAGGAGAGAAAAAGTGAAAGTAGATAGTCATGCAAAATAGAGATAAACGAATCCATATATGAAGCGACCGTGAATTTAAAAGATATGCAAAAATACGAGATAAAAGTGAAGAAGAGAGACGAGTTTGTGAATATGTATGATCACACCCTCGTTACTCACTGGATTTTCGCCTTTCCGGCTTTTGATTCTTGTTCCCTTTGTATTTTGTTTTTGTCACAATACTCTTTTACTATATATGTCTCTGTATATTGTTATTGCATTTGTTAATAGACCTTGAATTCATGGTGAAAGTTATGATGGATATCATTATCGTCATTGTTATTCTCTACGTAAGAAAACTCTCTCTCTCTCTCTCTCTCTCTCTCTCTCATCTCTCTCTCTCTCTCTCTCTCTCTCTCTCTCTCTCTCTCTCTCTCTCTCTCTCTCTCTCTCTCTCTCTCTCTCTCTCTCTCTCTCTCTCTCTCTCTCTCTCACGCACACAAATTCGTATGTATGTCTGTAGTACGTGTGTGTGTGTGTGTGTGTGTGTGTGTGTGTGTGTGTGTGTGTGGTGTGTGTGTGTGTGTGTGTGTGTGTATGTATGTGCGCATGTCTGTTCCTGTGCGTGTTGGAGAAAGGGAGACTGCACCAGCCTCCCTCACCTTGTCCGTCGATTACAAATATCATATATGTTGCATTTTTTTCCTCTTCACCTTAGGCTCCAAGGACACGCACCTTTAAGAAACTTTATCTTGGCGGAAATTATTGGGGAGAGAGAGGGGGGGGGGGAGAGGGAGAGGGAGGGGGGGGATGGAGAGAAGAGAGGAGAAAGATATAAAGAAAGAAGAGAGAGAGGGTCAAGCGAGAGTGTGTGAGAGAGAGAGAGAAGAAAGAGAAAAAAAGAAAGAACACGAGAGAAAAGAGAAAAGAAAGAGAGAGAGAAAGAAAAAACGAGAGATAGTTCTGGTACAGTGACCATGTGGTTGAGGGGTTATGGTGGTATGGTTTGTGGTATGTTGCAACCGGGCGATCTTTTACCGTGAAAAGCGCTGCGTCATCTTCACAAACGTGTTACTACCGTGAGTGGTTGTTTTGGGATCATCAGCTGTCATGCAGTCATTAGTCAGTTGAGTTAATTAAGGTCTTGTCACTAATATGAATTGTTCTCTTCACTGTTAGGTGTCGTATTACGCACACGCACACACTCACACTCACACATTCACACATTCACACATTCACTATACACACACATTCACACACACACACACACACACACACACACACACACACACACACACACACACACACACACACACACACACACACACACACACACACACACACACACACACACACACACACACACACAACACACACACACACACACACACACACACACACACACACACACACACATACACACACACATAGACAACAGCATATATAATATATATATATATATATTATATATATATATATATATATATATATATATATATATATATATATATAATCATCAGCTGTTGTGTATGGCACCATCTAAATCTATTATCATTATCTTTATCATCATTATCATCATGACTTTTTTCAGTCATCATCAAGTTTATTTTTTTATCACAATGTTTCACATGTTTCACCGCCACCGCCACATGCGTTCACCATCGCCAAAGTGTTCAGATGTTGGTGGAATGTTCGAGACATCCCGAAGAAAGGTCAGCGCAGGTCATGGCGAAGCTGGGGGTTAGCATTTTTTTAAAAGAATATAATTTTTTTTTTTTTTTTTTTTTTTTTTTTTTTTTTTTTTTTTTACTCGTCAGCGGTTTCAGCTTCGTTGTCCTTGTCGTCTTCTTGGTCTTTGCTTTACTGAGTTTCTTTTGCCTCTTCCTCATCGCTTTGTTCTTATTTTCACTATTTCCGTTCTTTCTCTCATTCTCTTATGTCTTCTTGTCATTCCTTTTTTCCTAGTCTCTTTTCTCTCATTTTCCTATTTCTCCATTTTTATTTTTTTCTTACTCTCATTTCTCTTTTTTTCTCATTCCTCTATTTCTTCTCTTCTCTTTCTTCATCCTCCCCTCTTCTTCTTCCTTCTCCTCCTTCTAATTATTATTATTGTTCTTATTTTTTTTATTCTTATTCTCCTTCTTCTTCTTCTTCACTGCCTTTTCTTATTCTTTCACCTTCTCTTTCCTCTTCGACCTCCCTTTCTCCTCTTCCTCCTTCCTTCTCCGTCTCTCTCTGACACTCCCTTTGATGGTCATTTCAAATTCCCCTTCTCATCATTTTAACATTTTCTTGACCCGAGCTCATTGTTAATGGTCTTTTTGAATTTATGGTGAACATTATGATGGATATCATTACCGTAATCGTTATCCTCTATGTAAAAAAACACATCTCTCTCTCTCTTTCTCTCTCTGTCTCTCTCTGTCTCTCTCCTGTCTCTCTCTCTCTCTCTGTCTCTCTCTCTCTGTCTCTCTCTCTCTCTCTCTCTTCTCTCTCTCTTCTCTCTCTCTCTCTCTCTCTCTCTCTCTCTCTCTCTCTCTCTCTCTCTCTCTCTCTCTCTCTCTCTCTCTCTCTCTCTCTCTCTCTGTCTCTCTCTCTGTCTCTCTCTCTCTCTCTCTTCTCTCTCTCTCTCTCTCTCTCTCTCTCTCTCTCTTCTCTCTCTCTCTCTCTCTCTCTCTCTCTCTCTCTCTCTCTCTCTCTCTCTCTCTCTCTCTCTCTCTCTCTCTCTCTCTCTCTCTCTCTCTCTCTCTCTCTCTCTCTCTCTCTCTCTCTCGATCCAACATGTGTTTACCAGTTCATTATAATTTCACGGGTGTTTTTTGAGTAATAATTTCCTATTTGCTTCATAATTCTGTTAAATACGAAAAATGTGAATAATGATACGTTTTTATATTACGTCATCGGGGAATTATAGAAAGATGTTGTCCGTGTAATAAGATTTAAATATATATGTAAAGCAATAGAGAAGGATGATAAGGATAATTGTAGTAATGATGATAATGAGAAAAATAATATTCATAAGGACGGTAGCGAGGATTATGATGATAAACATGAGCAATAGTATTTATGGGAAGTGTAATGTTATCGTTGTTATTGAGATGGTGATGTTGAAGTTATTAAATGTCAATTAAAGAAGTAGTTATAGTATCCATATAATGATGACGATAGATATACAAAAAGTGATGAGTATTAAGTAATAATATGACGATGATAACATGGCAATGAGTAATAATAATGACGATAAAAATGATAACATGGCAATGAGTAATAATAATGACGATTAAAATGATAACATGGCAATGAGTAATAATAAACGATAGAAATGAGTAATAATAATGACGATTAAAATGACAACATGGCAATGAGTAATAATAATGACGATTAAAATGACAACATGGCATTGATATTCATAAACCTGTTTGTAAGATTTATACATGATTAATAAACTTGATTGTAAAAACACAAGCACGACATCTATACTAATTTTGCTTTTGATTAATTGTTCCGAGTGAAGAAAGAGAGTTAAAAAAAACACTGGCAACTCAAGGCCTGTGGAATGATCATTAGTTGTCGGTAATTACAGGCTCATAATGTCATTAATTGTTTCATACGATTTTTTGGTTCTCTCTAATTACTGTTTCGTTATGTAAAATTTTCTGTGTGTATTTATGAGTGTGTGTGTGAGTGCGGGACTGGCTTATGTTGCCTGTTTATGTTTGAGAGTTTTGTGTTTGAATTTGTTCATGAATGTT